AGTTTCATTAAAGGGAGCCAAGTGCTTCCCTTGTTTTTGTTCTGCAGCGCTTTTAAGAAGAAGCACCTCTCAAGTGCTTCTTCCAAAACCACTTTAAGTGCTTTTGGATCTCATCCAAAGCGCTTTTGTAATTTTTGCCAAACACCATTTTTAAAAGACAGAAGCGCTTTCATCCATTTAGAAGCGCTTTTCACTGCTTTAACCTTTGTCTATTTTTTCGTTCTTTCCTTTCATTTCTGTACTCAAGATAAGTTTTTTGTTTCAATTTTTTTTTAAAGATATTGATAAGCGATTACATCTGATCTTCAACAATAACATCAGATAAGTCCAGCCCTTTTTCTCTCTCTCTCTCTCTTTCCCTATCCTAACCTATTTTTCAGTCTAAATCGTTGGATACATCTTTTTTTTTCAATCAATGGCTGATAAACATTATTCAAGCACTAATACAAAACCAGGTAGCTATTGGAAAACATATATAATTTCCCTAATTAACATGATTAAGTGGGCAGAAGATTATAAACTTCAAACTTAAGCAACACACCAAGTTTCCAAGTACCAATCTCATTTTTCGATTGGACTAATTGGAACCGCCACCACAATCACTTTCACTATAAATAAGTAGCCAGTAACATATATTATTCTTACACTCACTAATTCTATTGCCTTTTGCCATCCTTCTTTTCCAAGTAATTTCATACTCTCTCTTGCCCTACTAGCTTCTAATTAGAAACCCTCGTTCCCTACTAGCTTCTAATTGGAAACCTGCCTTCTTCTTCACACAGTCTAAAGATCATCATCACCATGAGCCCTGCTGCAAGTCTTGTCCAGCAGAAAATCAGGCTGTTCGTCAAAAAATTAGGCAAAGGTTTCCATTCCAAGAAAGCATACAAAAAGTTGGAGCATGCCTCTGAGAGCTCCAAGAATAAGCGAAAGGATGGAGATCAAGTTCAAGTTCCAGAAGGTTATGTGGCTGTGTACGTGGGGGAAGAGCGAAGAAAGTATGAAGTGTCCTTGAAGTGTCTCTCTTGTCCAGCTTTCCAAGAACTGATCATCGAGTCGCTGCCAGATGTGTTGGATGTCAAGATTGAAGAGCCTATTATGCTTTCATCATGCCCAACCGAGCGCTTTGATGTTTTGATTAGATTGCATGCATGGAAGTTTAGTTCTTGTTTCATATGGGGATTGAAGTTTTAACTTCCCAGAAGTCATACGTTTAAGAATTGTAAATCTTATTATTTTTCAATGGATGGTTGTTTTTCTTCTTTGTTGATACAAGCTTTTGTAATTTCAGATAAAAGTAGTGAACTTGGAATGTATTTTATTCCATGTAAAACATGAAGCATTCTATGTGCAATTTTAATTTGTGTCTTCCTCAGCTCCTCATAAAATAATCCGTTTACATAAGCAAGTTAAAAAAATTAAAACCTTGTTCTTTCTGTAACTTTATGCAAAGACGATTAAGATCTAGACTAACCCTAACAATTGCAAATACACAGTAAAGGCGATACATTACCAGGAATCTCAAATTCAGTATGAAGAAAAAGAAATTCAAATTTGGTATCTTCAAAGGAATAAATTGAGCACATGGCTCTTGAGAGACTTCCATTTTTGCTGAACTTGAGGTTTTGCTTCACCCAATATGGCCCAAAGAATTATCGAAACGAATTCAAACGAAAGAAAAAAATCTGTCATCGATAAATGAATTCCAATTTGTTGACTATTACTTATCAAATCTTGTTCTATAATATCTGGTTTGATCTTGTAGGTTTCATGATTCAAAGCGTTCTTTGTTTAAATATCTCTTGAAAGATTAATCGTTCAAAAATTGACTATTGATATCTTCATGATTGTTTATCTTTCTATTTGATTATAGTAGCATGACTAATTGATTCTCAATTTTGCTTTTTTTTTTGGATAATATTTGAAGGTAACCCGAAGAATGAACCATCTAGATCATGAAACCAATTGTGAAAAAGGTCCAAACTAGTTCTTTCTTTCGTGTGTACTTATGGGTGTGGGTTTTAAGTTGTATCATAACCGTTCATAAATAGTAATAAATAAATAAAATTTAATTTTTAAAAGTTTTACACGATTTTTTTATTTTTTTCATACACCTCTTTTTTTTTCAGAATGATTTTATAAGAGTGGTGCTAAATGAACCCTAAAATTAACTGAGTACACCCTATTATTAAACTATTTATTGAATTACTAATTTATCCTAATATAAAATTACCAAAAAGGATATTTTGAATTATGAAATAAATGTAATTTTAATAAGTACACCCTACTCACCATATTCAACTCTAATCAAACATAAACGAAAAACCCTACTCCAAAAACTCTGTTATTTCCTTTTATTGACAATAAAAAGATTTAAAAACCTCCAAATACCGAGCAAGTTCATACGTGCTTACTTGGAATTGAAATTGGAATTTGGTAATTGTGTATTGAAATTCTAAAAAATTGAAGAAACCTAATTCAATTTGGGTGAAAACTAAGAAAATAAAGATTGAAACTTTTGGGATTTGAGTTGAAGAATCTGCTTAACTGGGAAAAATAGATAGAAACCCTATTCCATTATGTGGTTGAGCGAGGTACATGGGCTAATTCATTCAAACTCGAATCAGGGAAAGTGATGCAGAGAGAATTCAAATATAAGGAAAATTAAAAGATAAAACTGAGGAAGGCCCATTTAGTGGTTGAAGGAGAAAAAGCCAGACACACTGATCATACAAAGATAGGATTTCCCAGGGGTATCCCAACTTCATTTTCTTCTATGTTTATTGATGGGATTCAAAATTATGACAGCTCATGTTTAGCAAGTTTAAACTTCCTTGGAAATGGGGTCTGCAGATTTTTGTTCCTTCTCTTCTTCCCTCTATAAATTAAATTGGCTTTGCTTCTGCTGAGCCACAGGCTGTTTCTGGGTTCTGCAGATTGTCCTTCTTTGACTGTAAGTTGCTATCTGATATCTTTATTACATTTTGTTTTGATGATGAGTTACTTAAGTTCAGTATGTTGAAAGAATGGGGTTAATTTGTTGTGTTTTTCTCATCATATGATTGATTTACTCATCTGGGTTCTTATTGTTATATACTGATTGTGTCAAAGTTTCGTCCTTTTAAGTTGTCTTGTTGTATCACCTTAATAGTTTTGTTGCATAATTCTGGATTCGAAGAATTAATGGGTGATGTCTATATTGAAAATGAAATATCTGAAATGCCTCTCGCAGTGAGTACTTTTCAACTTTACGATTGTGCATTATTGCAAATTATCTCTACTTTTTCTGTATGTTTGTTGTATCTCCTCTATTGTAACTTTCTTATTCTTGATCAAGATTAGCTAAGAAATTATAATTCGCTTATCGATTTTTATTTTTTTTATTTTTTATGTTATCCCACATAAGGAATAAGGTTATGGGGGTTTGAAGTTTCAATTTGGCATCTTTAGTTTTGTCAGTTTGATTCAGACCTTGTGCTTAAAGATCTAATATAGGTCCTTGTATCAGGCCTATAATGATACTGTGTGGAACACAAGTCTTCTTTTTGATAGTTTGGGATTCTACTCATCAATGGATGACATTTTCACCCGTCTACTGACATTTTCCGAATAATTTAGTATGTCAATTGACCTTGATGAATGCTGTTACCAGATTCGAATGGGTTTGCTGCTGTGTGATAGAGTGGATTAGGGTGTATCCGGGGTATTTTTGGTAATTAAATAGGGTGTACTTAGTTAATTTTACATTTTGATTTAAATATTAGGGTGTACTTAGATCATAGGGTGTACTCAGTTAATTTTAGGGTTCGTTTAGCAACACTCTTTTATAATCACTAGCCTCTTGGCAAGCATGTGCCAATTGGTTTTCTTTTTTCTTTTTTCTTTTACTTTTAGAATTAAGAAAAGTTAACATGGGTAATATGTTCCACAAAAGTAGGACCTATTATCTGATTTTGTTTTTATTTTTATTTTTTTAATATGAAAAAAATGTGAATTTACCATATTATCTATCCTCATTTAATTAATAATTTCAATTTTTAATGTTTGAATTAACCAAGGGCATTTTCTGGTATTTTGAATGTTTCACCATTCTCTGCCTTTTGCTTTATATATAGATAGATGATAGCCTACCGTAGTTAATTTCAAGATGTTTTTTTTATTATTAACCTAGATGAATATGATCATTATGGGGTGCTAATGGAAGCACTTTTAACTGTTAGGCGGAGAACAAGATATGACTATATCTTCTTCTTTTTTTTTCTTTTTTTTTTTCTTTTTTTTTTTTGACAAAGGAAGCACTTTTCTGCTTAATTGGAAACCAGAAGTCAATGGCCAAAGTTTTATCTAGAACAAATATATTATACTTGTAACTTGGATTTACAGAGATGGGTCTGTTTTGGATTTGCTTTTGCTAATAGCAAAAGCATTTTCAAATATCTTTGTTCTAAATTTTTCTTTCTTGGTAGACAACGTTGAAAGTTCAAGAAAAGTATGGAGTTGTATTGTGTTTTTCTTTTTGTAAATTCCATCTGAAAACATGAAGTAGTATATTATGATGAGAGATTCTCTTTTCAGGTTTATTCCTAAAATAACTAATGTAATGTCAATAGCAATATCAAACTATAACATTAACCATACCAAGCTCGGTTGAAGATGTCCCAAATTCGAATTCCATCGGCCTCATTAGTTAAAAAATACAAAAATCCTGCAGCACCATAGTCTTGGTTGCTTTGCTTCATATGAGTACTGTCGCATCCTTTAAACCAAAACCCGGAAACATAGAAATAAAATGGATATGAAAATTTCTTACTTTCCTGCATATATGCCAGGTTCTAGTCCATTAAACTCACTCGACCTTCAACCATACACTAAAATTGGTAACATCCAGATAACTTTCGAAAAGGGACCATCATGAAGGTACCAGGTGAAGTCTATCGCTATATAAAATTTTACTGAACAGTTTTCCCCACTAAAATGGGGATTTTCTTTTATAAGCTAGGTAAGCTCAAGTTCATTAGCAGAGAACACAGTAAGTAAATCAGGCATACTCTTTTACAATTTAAATGATGGGTACCAATACATGACAGAACAATAATCCTGTGATGTGATCCAAACTAAAAGAACTCAAAGTCTAGATATTTACCCCCGGACTTCACGTCTGCCCCTACCATTCTTTTACTGTTGCTTCCGACACCAACGGTGTCAACTGCCCCAAATTTCCCTGGCAGCTCAGCTTCCATTGGTCTTGGTACTTCTGGTGGTGTGCTGCATCGTATCAGAGCCCAGTTCACACCTTCAAAGAAGGGATGCTGCTTGATCTCAGTTGCACCCCTTTTCACCCCAAGCCGGTTTTGTGGCTCTTTCACTAGCAATCCCCGAATTAGATCGCGGCCTGCATAACTAGTTGCTGGTGAATCTGGGAATTTGAGTTGCTGCCCCACCACATTGAACAATGTAGCACGGTTTCCGGAGCCTTTAAAAGGAGTTTTACCATACAGTAATTCATGCAAGAATATACCAAACGTCCACCAATCGACTGCACTTCCATGGCCCTCTCCCTTAATAATTTCAGGGGCTAGGTATTCATGGGTTCCAACAAAGGACATAGACCGAGCTTGAGTAGGCTCTGCAACAAGCTCTGGAAGTGCATTGGTGGCAAACCCAGGCTCAGCTCGAGGTTTTCGGTTCTTCTTGCTTTTCTGAGGAAAGAACCTAGGGATAAAACAAGCAGGTTGAATGCACACTGATGAGGGCTCAATACATGCAGGTTGGACACAGAATGCACCACCTGCTCCTCGTTTTGAAGGATCAGAATCAAATGAAGTTCTTATCAGGGTCGGTGAAACAGCGCATCTCAGGGAAAGGTCAAAGTCTGAAAGCATTATGTGGCCGTCGTCACGGACAAGCACATTTTCCGGTTTCAAGTCCCTGTAGACAACTCCAAGCATGTGTAAATACTCTAGTGCCAACAGAACCTCCGCAGCATAGAATCTGCAAGAGCAAAGATAGATGAGTATATCACTCGCCTGCCTACTTTATGTAAGGCCTAGCTTAGAATAGCAGATTGGTAAAGCAGCAGCATCTAATCTTCCACATGAAAGGAAAACAGAACGAAATTCTCAAACATGAATAATCTATACTGCATTGAATCAGCACAATATTGAATAACTGCACAATCTATTTTCCATTTAATCCTGGTAGATGAAGTAATTGTTGGTTGTATTAGGAAATGAGGCTTCAAAGAAAGACGCTCCAATGCAGTAACAACCTTTCAAAGGGGGCAAAAGGGAAAATTATTCAAATGGATGGTCCAACTTCCAAGTCATTGCTCCAAGTGTTTCTAGCTTGGATAGCCAAGGTAGTAGAAAAATTATGTAAATTGAAGGCACATAATTTTATTATACATTGACAAAAGGTCCAAGCAAGAACAAACAGCGAAACTTTCAAAGCTTAATATTTTGATGTGTGTTGCAGTTCCTTGTTCATGGTACATTTTTAATTGTTGATTGATATTTTCATCGTTTTTGTGAACACTATTTGGATTCAAAAAGGTCTCCAAGCATAAATAGCCCAACTTCCAAAGCCTAATACTTCAATATGTTACTCAGCCTCTTGTTCCCATAACATAGTTTTTATTGTTGACAGGTTGATCAGTTTCATACACAGTATTTGAATTCAAACTCAGAGTAGATGAACTGGATGAATAAAATATAGTCAGTTAATAACATCTAGAACTAGCATGTGACTTTGCACTCTTATCATTTCCATAAAGTGGGGAACAAATCCAAATAGTGTGATAGAGATAAGTCACATTGTGAAGTTTTCCAAAACAGACAAAAGCAATAGCAAATGAGTGTGAAGGACTTAACTGAATATGAAAATGGACTAACGCAGCAAATACATATTTATCAGAGAATGGACAATCCAGCTCCTTCAATCGAAAGTTTACACTGGCTGTAAGCCCATTATGAAAGTTTTTCTAACTAACGAACATATTAGTTGAGTTTGTATTGTATTAGTGTAAAATACAGAAAAGTATTTTCCGAAACCAACATGTCTCAAAGTACGAGAAATATCAAAGAGATGAAACTGTGTCTCTAAATCTAAATGATCTTTTAGAAAAAATTTGCGACAGGTTGTCCAGATAAGCATATAAAAAAGGACTTCGTGGATGGCAAACAGAGTGCTCACTTGCTAATTTAGTTTCGCTTAACAATTACAATGTTGGAAAACCTTCAAAAATACAATATCCTAAATGCAAAAAGATATAGATCAACACAAAGAAAGAAAGATTAACAGTCATTTAGATAGGAGGCTCCCTTCGTCATCAAAATTACTAACAGTTAAATACTTTAGACAGCTGAAAGAATGCATCTGAAATAGAAGGCATACCTTGCAGCATACTCTGAGAAATGTTTTCCAGGTTGCCGTTGCCTCAGAGTGTGCAAATCACCACCTGGACAATATTCCATGACCAAACATGAGAACCTGTCGGTCTCAAAATGTGTATATAAAGTTGGAAGGAATGGATGGTCCAGCAGTTGCAAAATCTCCCTTTCCGTCTGAGCCCTAGTCAACTTCTTCCTGCTTGCAAGGGATGCCTTATCCATTACTTTCATTGCAAAATAACAGCGTGTTCCACTCAGTTCTGAAAGATAGACACTGCCAATATCACCGCAACCAAGCCGTTTGAGTAATTTAAAATGGCTCATACCCAATATCCCATCTCGAGCTCGAATTGCAAGAATAGCCTTCCACCTAGGGTCATTTCCTTTATGGGGCTTATTGGCACTCCCAGTAATGTTGCTCCAGTTGCTGTCATCACTAAGGCCACTACTATCACTTGCTCGACTAACGCTAGTTTTTGCACTCTCAAGTGAATCCCCTCTAACACTCCCTTTGGTACTTTCACAGTTCCTATCAATGCTGAGCATGCCATCACTTGTGATTGCGTCACTCCTGTATGTACCGGTGCAGCTATTGACAACGCTCATAGCAGTGACAACACCAGTACTATCGATGCTACTAAGAGGACTTACATTGCCACTCGGAGGCAAAGAAGCATCCCAAACACACTCCTTCTCCTCAGAATCTGGAGGAAGGAGTGAATTATCTGTATTTTGTGATGCACGGGGAATCGCAAACGGTGGAGACAATGCACCTAAGTCATTGGGTTCTTCAACCAAGCTTTCTGAAGGGGAAAGGACAATTGGATTTGGTTTCTTAGCAGGAACCCGGAGGGAAAGATCTTCGAGGAAAGGGCCTTTCCTAGATAAGCTCTTCATCAAGCATCCAGCCTCAGACTTATTCTGACCAATCGGTACATACACTGGTTTCATTAAATCCATATCAACAGGTTCTGGAGGGTGACTAACCCCAGAGAAAGAACTAGGGCCCCCTTCATCAAACGAATCTCCACTTCCCTTAAATGTAAGAGAGTCAGACATAAGTTCTTCCTCTTCTGGGAAAGAGATCTTTCCTTTCCTTGTTCTTAGAGGTATTGGCGAGTCTGAATCTTGAGACTCCCGTGCATTAGATCTTACATCTTTTACCATAAGAGAATGCACATTCGATAACTCAGCCATTTGCCTTGCCAATGCAATTTCTTCTCTCACCAAGCCCAAGCGCCCATTGGATAAATGACCTCTGTCTCTTGCAGAAGCAAAATCTTCTCTCACCAAACCAGAGCGCACACTGGACACGTGACCCACTACTCTTGTTGATGTCGAACGAGTATATGATACCTCACCTACGAGGGGCAATTTCCCAGGAAGCACCTTTGATTCTGAAACCCTCTCCATATCCAACAACTGTGTATCTCATAGAAAATCTCCGAATCGAAACAATTCTGCAAAGTAAAGTAAATCAACATTTAGCTTACAGGATTCTTCACATATATGGTCAGATCTTAATGTGTAGGTAGTCCACTAAACAGTACTTAATTCTATTCCATCTTAAACAGCATACAAACAGCACTCCAAGTCTTTGACGGCAGCACTAATAGAAATAATATTAAAAATAATAAAGATTCATTTAAAAAATAATGCACCCAGATACCAACCCACAACAAGGACAAGAAATTGAAATGCCTGGTGTTCATTTTCTTTTTCTACCTAAATATGATGTAAACTAGCACAAATTTGAACAGAAAATAGGGAGAAAAAAAAAAAAGTTGAAATATGAAATGTCTATAGTTGCATAGCCCTTCCCACAATCAGTAACTCAAACCACAAAACCCTTCAATCACGAAACTGCAATTGTCAAAGTTTCTATAAACCCAACCTGATCAGAGCAAATTCCTAACTTCACTCACAGTGCACTACAATTACGGAAATGGTACATATATAGCACATTAAAACCTTAATTTAGTGAAACAAAAGATATAAAAAGCAGAACCCACAAGGTCAAAGAAGCAAAACCTTCATTTCCAAGCCACACCCTTATAAAACCAACATTTTTTCTTTCAAAAGAAAGTAACTGAGACAGAGAATGTGGAATCCATAGACGGTGAGAGTAAAGAAAGATCTCTAAACAGCCCCCTCCCCGCAACCAAATTTAAAAGACAAATAAAATAATCAGAGGAAATTCCCAGCAGAAAAAGAACCGAAACGACAAACGCACCAGAGCAAAACGAAGCAGAACACGAATTCGTACGGACGATCCCTGTGCACAATAAGAGCAACGAAAATCTAAGGCGTCAGCTTCCCAATTTAGGGTTTTCACAGAGCTCGCTCTCGTACCTCTTTTTTTCTCCGAAAAAATAAAAGCTATAAATGAAATGTCGAGGTTTTTTTTCTTCTTTTTGTTCAATTTTCCAGAGCCAAAGCGACCATAGCTCTCTCTCTCTCTCTCTCTCTCTCTCTCTAACTTTTCTCTCTCTAGAGCTCTGTCTGTCTCTGTGAAAGACTGAAACCACAAAAGCTTTATTAAGCGATTATGGTGGTTGTAATTACAGACTTGTTTACAGCTTTTGCTTTTTTGTATGGGCTGCGCGCACTTTATTAGTAAGCTGAGCCTGAGAGAGAGAGAGAGAAAGAGAGACCAGAGGAGGAGAGAGACAGAGAGAGCTAGAAAGGGACCCACCGGAAGAGAGGAAAGTGGACCCCAACACGTAGGGCCCGCGCGTGTTCCTGCTTTACGCTACACTTCTTTTCAAAGATGGTGACTCTCTCTCTCTTCTCGCGCCTCTCACTCTGTCTAGTGTGTTACTGAGTCATCAGACTCGTCACTCATCAGCCTCCTCTTTGGGTGTGTGAAAATCAGCAGACGCTTTTTTTTGGCGCGTGTGTATCAGGTTTGGACTTTTTTCATTTTAGATAATAATGGTGTTTTGAGAGAGTGATCAAGTTTTGCACTATGTATCATAAAGAAACATCAAACATGAACTTGTTAGGTACAAAATTGGTTTCTTTCGTGCTGTTTTATAGTTTTAAAGGATAGCACTTTCATTCCTAATCAACTAATCAAAACACAAAAATATAATCAATAAATCAGAACACAAAACCGTAATCAATTCAGATAAATTAATTAATGAAAACCAAAAGCCCTAACCAAATGAAATTCAATTCTGTCAACAAAATCTACGAATTTCAATGCATGAAATTGAATTCCTTTCCTCTGTTAAGAGTAAAAGAGAAAACCAATCAAGAGCTTAATTCAATTAAGTGCAATACCAAGAAATAGCCAAAACAGATTGAGAGACTGAGACAGAGAGAGAAAGATCGAGAGACAGAATTAAGTGATAGATGAAAAACCACAAGCGCAGACAGCTTAGCGTTTCAGAGCAACTAGGAAATAAAATCACAGGTTGTACCTGGTTGCGGTAGGCCACAGCTCCTGGATTTCAGTTTCGCATATATCTTGTGGGAGCTACGAGAGGGAGGAGACTAGACAGATCGTGAGAGTGAGAGAGTGAGAAAGAGACAGAGACAGAGATCCAAGGGTTTGGGAGGCGTGAGAGATCGAGAGTTTGAGAGAAAGAGAGAGCTTGCTGGGAGTGGAAGCAGAGTTTGAGAGAATCTGGGTCTGCTAGGAGGCGTGAGAGATTGAGAGTGAAAAAAAAACTAGCGTATAATTTTGTTTAGGGTTACTATTCGGTACGGTATGGTTTCATACGGTGGCTGATATATGATACCACACCCGTGTCATACAAGATTGGCACGGTACGGTATGATACCGTATTAATTCGGTGGGCATACGGTACGGTATTAAACGGTATGATATGATATGGTATTGACACGGTTTCGGTATATACGGTATAGATGCCCACCCCTAGTGTTTTCCTCTTCTTTTCTTTTTTCAAATGTGAATTAGGTTAAGAATCGAACTTGATGCAAGATAGCAGGTTTATTGGTCTGACCAACTGATTTAAACCACATCTATTGAGTAGTTTAGACTATCTTTTTTCTTTGACACAACTAAATAGTTAGTAACACTTAACTCAGAGTTAGTCGACAATACTCAACTCAAATTAGTTTAGGCTATTACGGGCCAATTTGGCATTGATGTGCTGTGAAAATAATCGTTGTCAAATTTGCTGTGAGAGAAATCAGTTGTGAGAGAAAGCAGTTTGGTGTTTCGTAAACTTTTGGTTAAAAGTGTCGTTGGTATTGATTCCCGCATAAATCAAAAAATTATTCCCGTATAATCATTAAACCCAGCGCCTTTTCGAAACTGATTCCTGCATAATTAAAAAATGAAAGTACCTCATTAGCTGCTTTCCCTTATAGCTTTCACTCATAGCAATTTTTAATAATAAGTGATTTTCTCATAGTTTACCAAATAGGCTAGGCTTCCAAATTTTTTTAAAAAACCCCAAATAAACAATGCCAAACGGGCACTATTTATACTAAAAAAAAATTTAATTTTAATTTTATATATATATATAATTTTATTTTATTTTCCATTTTATTGATTTGATAATTTGGGAGTGCTGCAGTCATGTCATGATTTCACTTTTCTTATTGGAATGATTTTCATGTTGTGATGGCTGACGGGTCTGCACAATCCAATCAAAGTTGAAGGATCAAGGATGCAATAATTTCACGGAAAATTAAAATTACATTCTTATCTACACGTGATATGAGGAATTTGACATGTATAATTCGGAGCTAATGAAATTTTCGTTTATAATCTAGTAAAGGTATATTATATCATTTTTTTTTAATGGTGAACTAATTAAGAAATGAAAATATTTTTGCTCACCACTTTAATACAAGGTGTATCTTCACTACTATTCTTAACACATGTCCATTGATATAACCATAATTAACTATTTGTTCTGTATTTATGAAACCATTGTTAGGAGATAGCAATGGGTTGAATCAGGGGTGGATATGCAATTCCTATCTCCATCCCCGTTAAGCTTTTTTCCCCCATACACATCTTCATACCCGAATATTTATATTGGGAATTCCCCATCCCCACTTTCGTTGTGGAATGGATTCCCTGACCCATCCCATTACTGAAGAAAAAACCAATATAAAACTACTTGTTAAAAGAAAAAGAATAGGACTAGGGTAAGATAATTAATATATATAATATATATACATACCCACTCCAAAAAATTCCCCATACCCGTCCCTATACCTGTTTTTTATCCTTCATACTCGACCCATTAGGGTCGAATTCACGAGAAGACCCTTACCCGCTGGGAAAATTGTCTTCCCTTGACTCATTTCAAGTGTTGAGAAGGATAGTGAAAGGATACACTTTGAGTTTAAGGTGGTGAGAAACATGATCTCATTAAGAAATACCAACTCACTCGATTGGTGGTTTTTTCTCAAATTTTTTTTTAAGAGCTTCTAAGTTTGAATTCCTTTTTTTTTTTTTTTTTTTAATAAAATGAATTTAAGAAACATAAATTCATATTTTTTTTCTTTGCCAAAAATAAGAAACTTAAATCTACCAATAGAGCAAAGGACCTACTAGTGTAATAGTTTAGAGCAATTGCTCCCCCAGGAAAGGTCCAAGGTTCGAGTCCTAGCATTTGTGTAGTGTATATGAATTTAGTATATTATCGCCTTTCTCAATAGGAAATGTCTTTAAAAAAAATCTACCTATAGATATGGGAGTTAAGGAAATGATTATTATCCATCACTTTGATTGTATTGGGATCTCGAGCAACACCGTACCCCCAAGGACAGCCATGGCTGCCTCTCTCTCTCTCTCTCTCTCTCTCTCTCTCTCTCTCTCTCTCTCTCTCTCCCTCCTTCTCTCCCTCGATTTGGGATCACTGACTCTCAACAAGGCCTTAGAAGAGATTTTATGAAACCCATATCTTTTTAACAAATTACTGCAATTAAATATGCAAATTCATAAATGAAAATTAATTGGCCACAAATACTGCATATGAAAATTTTATATGTGCCTACTAACTATAGAACCTAGTAAAAAAAAAAAAGGTGTGTGTGTGAGGAAGAGAGAGTGAAGGGTGGCTGCCATGGCTGGCAATTGGGGTAGGAGGTTGGGTTAGGGAAGATGGGTTTTTTTCCTCCTATGGAGAAGATGGTTGTTGCTTGTTGGGATACCTTATTATTTTTATTATTATTATTATTATTTCAGAGTTATTGGATAAATATAAGGTGCAAATAAGGGTTATTTTTGGATCAATACAATTATAATGATGTGGACTTATTAAAGTTCATTAGATTAATCTAATGGTTAACATTATCTCAAATGCGTGTAAATGCAGGAATACTAAATACAGAGGCTCTGGATCCGTTGTATTGTCCCTCCTCCCTATTGCATATGAAAGGAAAAGAATCTTGCATTTTAAATTTCTTAACAATTAATGAGGATATTTTAGGCAATACAAGATCTTTTTGTTAATGAATTTTCATTTATAAAGTGCAAGTTAGATTGGAAAATCCGATTTCGATTCAAATTTTTCCAATTTAGCCAAGTCTAAATCAATTTTGTCATGCGAAAGTTCCAAATTCTGAAAAAAGTTGGATTGTAATTGGAATGGATCTCGAGATTTCAAAATATATTGGGGTTTCAGGCTTAGACTACATAAAATTACAAATTTCATGGTAAACAATAGGGAAATATTTTTGCTCACCACTTTAACCCAAGGTGTACCCTCACCACCCTTCTCAACACTTGACACATGTCCATTGACATAACCATAGTTAACTCTTTGCTTTGTATTTATGAAACCATAGTTACATCAATGGACACATGTCAAGTGTTGAGAATGGTGGTGAGGATACACCTTGGTTAAAGTGGTGAGCAAAAATGCTCCCGAATATATATATATATATATATATATATATATAT